GACCCCTCTGATGGTATGCGCTTCTGCAGAAAACAGCCTGACCCCTCTGATGGTATGCCCTTCTGCAGAAAACAGCCTGGTTTGATGTTTGGAATCAAGGTCCGAGATTTTTCTATAATGAGGCAACTCTTAGGAGTTGAGCAGCCCTGGGGTCTGGTTGGGTACGTCTTCCCTACTGACTGATTTCTTTAAGGGTCCCCAGCCCCAACCCCCGGGGGCATTGTAGGATTAAAACAAAGAACTTGCTGCGCTCTGAGCTGGTCTGGCTGAGCGTCTCTTGTGTTATTTTCAAAGGCAGGAAGGCACATTCCGTTTCCATGCTTCCCACAGTTGTCATCACTGTGCAGTTCGTAGCACACGTGCCTGTCCCTGCAAAGCCATGTGGCCCGGCCAGTGTGGCTGTGGACTCAGGGCCCCAGCCCATCCCAGCAGACATGCCCGCTGCCTGTGCACAGCGGGGTAAGGGATTGCAGGCTGACACCGCCCATTTTTGTCTTTAGGTGGCCGTGTTAAATAATCACGAAGCGTTAGTTCGGTTACTTCTTGACAAAGGGGCAGATGCGAGTATAAAGAACGAGGTGAGTAACTCAATCTTCATATACAGATTTTCCTTGGAGAAGAAAAAGTATGTATGCATATATATATATAATTTTTGTTGTTTTCTCTTTCAGTTTGGCAAAGGTGTCCTAGAAATGGCCAGAGTTTTTGACAGACAGGTTGGGATGTTTGCCTTTCAAGGCTAAGTCTGTAATACTTTAAAATCTAAACCAACAATCAGAACCTTGGGTTGCATTCACCTGTTTGTTTTGTTTGTCTAGAATGTAGTCTCCTTATTAGAAGAAAAGAAGAAAAAGCAAATGGTGAAGACGTCTGCCGTCTGAGCAAAGCACCATGTTTCCATGGAATCCAAGTAAAACTAAGCAGAACACGACCTTTGAACTAGAAATGTGAAATTCTGCGTCTTCAAGGGCTATACATTTGATTATTTATTTAGTTGAAAATTCACAGTGACTTTATTGTAACATACAACTGTTCCCACTTTGAAATACATCTTTTTACCTAAGTGTGTGTCTTTGGTGTCGTCACTGGGCATCTGGGGAACCCTAACTCTAACCCTAACCCTAAATCTAACCCTAACCCTAACCCTATCTTTAGCCCCACAACCTAATGCTAACTCGAACACTAATGCTAGCCCTATCTGTACCCTAGCCCTAGTTATACTCCTAAACTTAACCCTAACTCTAACCCTGACCCATAACTCTACCCCTAACCCTAACAGAATCTGTAGAACCTTATGTCTTTTGGAGCTAGGAATGAAATAATACATTTATGTACGGAGCTGCACAGACAAACAGAAGCCTTCCACTCCCCGCTCCTGCCCCCTAAGCTGTCCTCTGAGCCAGTCTGGGACTGTGTGGACATTATTTCCTGAATATGTTCTCAGTCTTGTCCTCCCTGCCCAGTCTATGGCCTTTCATGCCACTTAGCCAGGCCGGTGTCCCCGTCTGGAGCAGATGCTCCTTCTAGAAGCCCAGGCAGCCACATGAATGTCTTCTCAGCTGTTGGTCTCATATCGAAGCCGAAACACACATTTGAAGACTCCAGCTCTGCTCTGTCAGAGCGTCTGGTTGAGGGTCAGTCACCTTAGACCAGTCTGAGAATGTGTTTGCACATACTCATGCCCTGACCGTGGACGACCCAAGCCGTGGGCACAGGGATACCTGTGATGAAGACCGGTGTGTGACACTTGGTCTTTAGCACAGGGAGGGTTTTTGATGCTGACCGTGCAGTTTGTAGAGAAGTAGGAATGAAGTGCGACCATGTCTGATGGTTGGGAGCATAAAGACAACAAGTGTGGGCGGGGCTTTAACTCAGAGAAAACCCTTGAGTCAGCACAGAAGGTAACTACTAGCAGACCACATGCGTTCTGTGTCTCCAGAGACAAGGGGGCTCATCCTGGCCCAGGAGAAGACCATCTAAAGGGATTTCCTCTGTGGGGAAGAACCAGTGAAAAGGTCATTAAAGCTGGCAAAGCTTTTTGGGGGGAGCATATGGAGAAAAGGCACACAAATCAATTTGATTGATGTTGGCAGTCCTCAGTGTTATCCCGTTAAAGTTTATAGAACATTCACCTTAGAAACTGGATTTGTGTGCCGTATAGAGTCTTGTCCTCAGATATTGCACAAGTGTTTTACCTTTTGAACATGTGAGTATTCCTTTAAATTTGCTGGATTTGAGTTTTTAAAAATCTCTTCAAATACAATCAGAGCATAGTCACGGCTTTCTAAAGCTCCCTCCCCGCTTTTTGTGATCATGGTTGACACTGACCTCAGCTGCCTTTCTTGGTCTGTCTCTCTAGCCAGCTCACAGAAGAGGACACCTCCCTGCTCGTTGGCATCTAGCTTCCCGCTCTCCTGACTCAAGCCCCAGTCACAATGGGACTGCCCTGGGATACTGAGACGTGAGTAGGAATGGCACCTGCCCCTTCAGAGCAGACGTTTTAAGACTCCCTGTGTCGCTCGACCCTCTGCCGCGAGACCAGCCATGGCTCGATGGAGGCTGCTCCGTCAGCCCAGGTCCCCGAGAGAAGAGCCAAAGGCCACCCAGGATGAATGTGATAAGTGAGTAGGACATAGACCTTTAACGTTGTAAGTCACTGAGATTTAAGAGTGATTACTGCAGTATAACTTAGCCCAAAATGACTGATCATAAAGTCTGGCTGTATATTTGTGAATCTGATTTTCCACAAACAATATTAGCATCTCCGAGTCCTATGGTTTCTTTTTTTAGTTTATTCAGATTTTGAAAAACTCAGGAATGGATATCGTTAAGGATTGAATCGTGTTCCCTCCCCCTCCAAATATATATTGAAGTCCTCACCCCTGCACCTGTAAATATGACCTTGATTGGAAATGTTAATGAGGTCAAACCAGAGTAGAGTATGTCCTAAACCCGATCACTTCTGAGTTATAAAAAAGAGCAGAATAGACACACCCACAAACACGAGGAAGAGGAAGCAGACGACTGGGACAGATGTATCCACAAGCCCAGGAATGCCAAGGATTGCTGCAGCTACTAGAAGCTGAAAGAGACCACTCTCTAGAGCCACACCCTGAGTTTGACTTCTAGCCTCCTGAACTGTGAGAAAATTAATTTCTGTTCTTCAGAGCCATCCACTTGTGGTATTTTTTGTTATGGTGGCACTAGGTAACTAAGACAGTCATTGAATTTTATCAAATGTCTTTTTAGCATCTGTAGTAATTACGACATTTCCCTGTGATCTATCAATTTGGTGACTTGGATAGTTAAGATTTCTTGGTATTGAATCATCCTTATATTCCCAAAATAATCTCATTGGATTATGGTGGATTCTAAATGCTCACACGCTGTGTGTTTGCTCTTTATCTTCTCTTCCCTTTACTAGATTGTTGTTAGTTGCTGTTGTGTTGGCTCTGACTCTTATGTATAACAGAACGATGAGACGTTGCCCGGTCCTGCGCCATTGTCGTGATCATTGGTATGTTTGAGTCCGTTGTTAAGGCAGTTGTATCAATATTAACTAGATTAGATGGTGGTTTATCTCATGTTGTAATTTTCCCAAAGAAGCAGCTCATGGTTTTATTCTATTTTTTCCTAATTAATTGATTTCTACAAATTCATTCCTTCCATTTTTCTTAGGTTTATTTTGTTGTTTATTAAACTCATTTATTTTCTTATTAATGCATATATTTAGGACTATGAATTTTCCCCTCAGCACTGCTTTAGCTGTATTCCCCTGGGAAATTTTCCAAACTTTCCTGATGAAAAGATTCAATTGGGGTACTTGCTAAATACAAATTACGAGGCCCCACTGCAGACCCTCTGAATTGGAATTTCCAGGGGGCGAGGCCTGAGCAGTGGATTTTAAGAAGCATACCAGGTGGGTTCATATAATTCAAGAGTTTGGGAAACATTGCCATGGAGTGTGATAACAAAACTTTTTATTTGCTCTTCCTTACAGGATCCTCCATTCATCTTTGAGGCAGGAAACATTACATTTCTAGGGCATAGGGTTGTTTTCCTAGTTTTAGTGTATTATAGTTGGAGGACTTGTCTGTACCATTTGGAATTTGAGGTTTATTTTGTGGCACAACATTCTCCCCCGCCACCTCTGGAGGCGCTTGGAAAGAAGTGCCTGTTTGATGTCTACCAATTTGATTTGCCTTCTTAACTATGCTGTGAGGTCTTCCGTGTACTGATTTTTTGGCTACATGTTCTGTCATGGGTGGAGAGCGGTAAGATCAAAGACCCACTGTGACCATTTTGTACATCTCTTCTTAATATTTCCTGCTGTTCTTTCCTTAGGAAGTTGCATGCTATGTTTTATTTGTAAGCAGACACCTATCAGCCTTAGATTTTCATTCTGGATAAGCTCTCTTTATTTAATTCAATCCTGTCTGATATTAATGTCTCTATCCCTGCTTGCTTGCTTTCTGAATTTATCTCTTATGTAAATAAGGTGAGCTTTTTAATTAATTTTTTTGAGTAGGTTAGACATTCACATTGTTCAGTTTCTTTTCATTTGCGTGTGTGTGTGTGTGTGTGTGAAAAGGTGTATTTTCCCTCCTGGTCCCCTCATCGGCCTGGTTTATGTGGGATTGGCAGCACACCTCCCTCCCTCCCCAGCTAACCATTCCTCTTAGTTTCTTATGCACCCTTCCAAAATTTCTGTATGTATATATTGATGAACGAGAATATAAAATTTTTTACATGAGGTTTTTTTTTTTTTTGCATTTTTGTAACCTTCCCAGTAATGAATAAGACAAGTCTTTATACTCATTGTATATCATTTATTGGATATAATATTGTTAACAATGACTTTTTCAGATGGCGTTTACCTGTAGAACCCTGATATAAGAAACGTGTACAAAAGTAACAGACTGTGACATAAAAAGGTATGTGAAAAAAATTAGCAAACCAAAGCATTATAAATGGTTGAAGCACTATAAAATTAATGTGCTGTTTTATGTAGCTGTAAGTTTAATCTGCACTGTGCTGAATAGCCTGTAGCCAAGTTTATACTTAACAGTTGCCACACACATTCCACATTCAAGCAATGGACCTTCCCTCCCACCTACCAGCTGACCTCATAGAAGGGACAAGGGAATACGTAGCCCTGTGCCGCTAGTTGTACTGCCCTGGAGTCTTAGAGGATTTGTCTTTCTAATGTGATTTTTTTTTTCTCTTTCATTGCCCTACTTAAAGTACCTGTTTATAAGTCAGGAACGTAGATGTCATTCACTTCTTTGTGAAACTAAAATGAGCCCAGGATATCTGTCCTTCGGTTCGGCTTTGTCGTTGTTGTTCTGTGCTGCTAAGTCGATTCCAACCCATGTGATTGTTCTTGTTGTGTGCCATTGGGTCGCTTCTGCCTCCCAGTGAGCCTGCAGGACAGAGGAGAACTGCCCCACAGGGTTTTCTAGGCTGTAATCTTTATGGCAGTAGATTGCCTGGTGGGTTCCAACCACAGACCTTTTGGTTAGCAGCCCAGCACTTAGGCACTGCGCCACCAGGGCTTCTTTCTGTTTGGCCTTAAAAGGTGCTAAATTGAGGGGGAAAAAAGTGTAGAGGGAGAATCACAGGGAACACAGAACATGTTTTTTTGAAAATGTGGACAATCAGGGTGGGTTACAGGGTCTTCAGCCTGAAGAACTGAATCACATCAAATTGAGACTTTGTGTGTTTGACCTTTTGGCTATCACCACCCATCACTGAATAATGCCAAGGTTTCATACACAGACTTTCTCTTCCTAGTTTGTGCATATGAAACCAGTTCTTGATGGCTGGACCATAGCTGCCATTGTTGTTCCAAAAGAAAAGGGCAGGAATGTCTTTAGGAAAG